ATTAACTCTAAATGAAATATCCGCACAGTGCTTCGTTTTCTTTGCTGCAGGTAGAAATTGAAGTTGTCATTATTTTACAACAGACATTATAGTTATTTCAATTCGAAATTCAGGTTTTGAAACATCTTCCGCCACACTATCGTTCTGTTTATACGAATTTTCAAAAGCTCCCGAAATTCAAAAACGAGTACACGAAGAAATCGACCGAGTATTTGAAGCAAATGAAAATGGATGAAATATTTGGAAAGCTGCATCGACGGTAAGACAAACACTTTTTATATGATTGAAAACTAATTTTCCGAAATGTTGATGTTTCAACTTCATTCATTCACTTTAGAAACATTGCGCAAACATCCAGTGGTCCCATTGCTAACACGAGAATGTGTGAAAGATTATAAATTGCCAGGGACTGATAGGATCATTGAAAAGGGTACAAAAATTTTAATTCCAGCATTTGCTTTGCAGAGAGATGAAAAATACTACGAAGAACCAGATAAATTCATTCCCGAACGATTCAATGAACAAAATTCGATTGGAAAGAATTTGACAAATCCACCTTATCTACCGTTTGGTGAAGGGCCACGAAATTGCATCGGATTAAGACTGGGCAAAATGCAAACAAAGGTCGGACTCGTTTTGATGTTGCGAAAATTCCGATTCGAATTGGAAAAGAGGCTTAAGAAAAATGAAATGGTATTCGATCCTAAAGTATCTTTCCTTTCACCGCTTGGTGGAATCAAACTTCATATCATTAAGCGGTAGTTAATTTTCAAGATTTTATGCAATTTCAAGGGTTGGGGATGGCCATCTTGTGAACTTTATAATTGTTATTATCAATAATTTAACAGCAAAATAAACTGACAACGTATTACGCAGACAATATATTTAGCTGCTGTCATCTGGATATTTCAGCTCATCTGGATGCCGTCAGCAGATGATGCGAAGTGAAAACAATAGAAGTGATTGTTATTGTAATACCAGTATATAACAAGCTTATATACCTATAACAATCACTTCTATTGTTTTCACTTTGTATAATGTGCTGACGATATCCAGATGAGCTGTAATATCCAGATGACGGCAGCTAAATATATTGTCTGGTATTACGTTAATTTGATATTAATGTTATCATAAAGCAAAAGCGCCAAAAATAATTTTTTTTAATTTCGAACAATTGGAATTTTTTGTTATTCTTTCACTTATTTATTCGTTCAAGTAATCTACTGGTAGTAAGAGATATTAATATCGAGAATAAACAAGAGTAGATAATTTTATACACACGCATTAAAAAGTCGATTGCTTTATTATGTTCAAACACACATTCCTTCGGCATAGATTATACATTTTTATCACCAAGATAATCATTTGAACGCGATCAAATACAATTACAAACTGGTCCATCTCTGAGCTACGTTATCGACTCAATTATTCACATCAGCATGACATGTCAATTTTTGAAAAACAGAAATCATCCACAAAACTTAAAACTCTCGATAGTAGGCTAAATTAAAAAATAAAAGGTGAATAAAAATGCTAACAACCAAAATGTATACAACTAATATACGCCAACAACAAACGTTCGTATCTATATCCACTTTGACTTCATTTAAAGGAATCATTAACCAGTACACACTCAACAGAACAGAATACGTATGCTTACTTATAAATATCATTGCAAATGCATATTACGGTTCATTCAAGTTGTTGATCTTGGAGTGTGTTATTTGTATACTGAGTGATAATTATTCATTGTAATTCAAAATGAGTTTTTCAAGTGGAAGTTTGAAATGTGATGCGATGTTGCTTTTGATATCCGCAATCACATTGTTTTACTTATATCTCAAACGAAATTATTCGTACTGGGATCGCAAAGGGTTTAAAACACATCCTGGTGCCATTTTCATATTGGGACATTCAAAGTCAAACTTCATGGGAAAAGAGCAAATTGGCTGTCTGACAAGAAAGATATACAATAAAACAAGCGAAGCATTTATTGGTTTCTATATATTATTACGACCAGTATTACTACTTCGTGACCCAGATCTGATCCGAACTATTTTAATCAAAGATTTTTCCCACTTCCCCGATCGTGGTTTATATTGTAATGAAAAAGATGATCCATTGACTGGCAATTTAGTAGCTTTGCCCGGTCAAAAATGGCGAAATTTGCGTGCAAAACTTACACCAACATTCACTTCGGGAAAATTGAAGGCAATGTTCTCAACTCTTGTGGAATGTGGATCAACGTTACAAGATTACCTAGAAAAATTGGCTGATAAAAAAGAATTACTTGATGTTCGTGAAATAGCTGCCAGCCATACGACGAACGTAATTGCGTCTGTCGGTTTTGGCATCGAAATAGACACGATCACAAATCCGGACAATGAATTTCGTAAATACGGTCGCAAAATATTTTCTAGCACTTTAAAAAGTTCACTTCGAAGAAGTATGGCGTTTGGTGCACCGAAAATAATGAAATTTTTTCGTATAAAATCAGTTGATTCAGATGTTGAGCGATTTATTATGTCGGTCGTTCGGGAAAATTTGGAATATCGTGAAAAGAATAATGTTGTACGGAGAGATTTCTTCCAACTTTTAATTGATCTTCGTAACACTGGAACCGTGGAATTGGACGATCATTGGGACAGTAACGTTGAAACGAAATCTATTCAAAATCAAGAATTGTTGACTCTGAATGAAATTGGCGCTCAAAGCTTCATTTTTTTCGCTGCTGGTAGGGGAAGAACAACTTTAGCGTACCTCTTACTTTGATATTCACATATTCCATTCTTTTATGCAGGTTTTGAGACATCATCGAGTACACTTTCATTCTGTTTGTATGAATTGGCAAAAAATCAGAAAATTCAGAACCGTGTCTACGACGAAATTAATCGTGTGCTGGATGGTCATGGTGGAAAAATTACATACGATGCGGTATCGGAAATGAAATATTTGGAGCACTGCATTGACGGTTTGTTAAATTATTATTTTTTATTTAATTGCATAATTACAATTTTATTAATTTATGAAGTCTCTCATGATGATGCTGTAATTTGTTTTATTTTTTTTTACAGAGACTCTTCGCAAATATCCTATTGCCACAAATTTGGTTCGAATTTGTATGGAAAACTATAAAATACCAGGAAGTAATCGAACAATTGAAAAAGGTGTTGAGGTAATCATTCCCATACTAGCTTTACACCGAGATGAGAAATACTACGAAAATCCAAATAAATTCGATCCGGATCGATTCAATGAGGAGAATTTGGCAGGGAAAAATCAATCGAATCGACCTTACTATCCGTTTGGGGATGGACCGCGCAATTGTATCGGCATGAGATTGGGTAAAATGCAAACGAAGGTCGGACTAGTTATGATGTTGCAACAATTCAGATATGACTTGGAAAATGAGCTCGAACGAACGCGTGAAATGGAATTCGAACCGAGATCAAATTTACTTGCACCGCGCGGGGGAATCAGATTATACGTCTTCAAACGTTGATTTTTGATTTTTTGCGCGACTTTTTTATATTCAATTAATTGAGTTTGAATGCATGAATATTATCTGCAATGCCATCATTTTGATAAGCACGAATGCAATAAAGTAAACATACATATAGTTATTACTATTTTTATTATTTTATTAGGGAAATAAAT